GTTTAGGGGATTAGGGTTTGGGGTTTGGAGTTTGGGGTTTAGGGTTTAGGGTTTAGGGGTTTAGGGTTTAGGGGATTAGGGTTTAGGGCTTAGGGTTTAGGGTTTATTATTTTGGGAGTTCCTTATATAACGGGCCCCAAAACCCTCTTCTAATTGTCAAGGCCCCTATATTTGGGTTTGGTATTTGGGGTGGGTTAAGCTTTTGGGCTTTGGGTTTAGGGTTTTGGGGTGTGGGGTTTGGGGTGAGTTAGGCGTTGGGGTGGGTATAGGGTTTTGGTTTAACGAAGTTTTTAGGGTTTGCGGCTTAGGGCTTTTGCTAGTTTGGGGGGTTTTGGGCTGTGGGATGTAAGCCTTTGCTCGAGGGCTTGTTTTGAAGGAAATGCCCGGTTCAACTCACTGCATCGCCCCTGAATCCCAAACCCACCGTACAGGGGCCTGCACAGTTTTGCTCCGCAATTCCTTTCAATCTCTTAATGAGATGGCTCCGGAACGGAAGACCCCTCAAACCCTCCCCCCTAAACCCTAAACCCTAAACCCTCCCACATAAGCCTTTGACCTGAAACCCGAGAGCCTAAACGCCAACCCTCAACCCTAGAACCCTCAACATCTCATGTACCGCATCGAAAGTATCTGCACAGTTTATATGACTCTGACGGGGTGAAACCAATCCTGGATCTAGGTATCTACGGTTTGTGGAGTGTTTTTATTGTCATTATTTTCTGATTGTTACTACGCATCATCATTGTTCTGCTTCTTAATGTTACTGATACTGTTAATTTAAATATTTATAACGTTTGTTGTATTATAATTATGGGTTTTGTAGGGTTTGTTCTTTGGTTGAGAGTTTTTTTTTCTGTTGGACGTGGCCAAGTTTGGGATGTTCTGAAGGATTCAAAGAAGGGTAATTATAGGTTTTATGTTCAGGATTTGTGGGTTAGGGTTTTAGCGTTTAGGGTTTGAGGTTTAGGGTTTAGTGTTTGGGGTTTGTTTATATAGGGTTTAGGTCTCGGTATCAGTTCCAACCAGCCCATGAATCTTACACATTTCAGGCGAACGGCAGTAGCGACATGAATCACCATCCTGAACCGCGCTGTCAGAGGTACTCTTCCCCTTAACCTTAAATCCTGAACTCTAAACCCAAAGCCTTAAAACCCAAAACCCTTAACCCAAAACCCTAAACCCTAAACCCTAAACCCAAAACCCTAAACCCTAAACCCCCCCAAAAAAAAACCCAAACCCAAAAACCCAAAAACCCTAAACCCAAAACCCTAAACCCTAAACCCTAAAACCCAAAACCCTAAGCCCTAAACCCTAAACCAGCCCTTTAAAAATAAACAAAACCCTAAACGCTAAACCCAAAACCCTAAACCTTGAAACCCAAAACCCCAAAACCCAAAACCCTAAACCCCAAAACCCTAAACCTGCAAGGGTTTAGGGTTTAGGGTTTAGGGTTACCCTAAACCCTAAACCCAAAACCCTAAGCCCCCAAGGAAGTGGCCATCTTTGGCTGCACGGCGGCTTTGGCGCCGAAGGGCAGACAAAGCTCCTCGATGACACCTGGCACCTCGGACACCTCGGAGTCGGCTGGGTTTAGGGTTTAGGGTTTAGGGTTTCGTTTTTTTTTTTTGGAGCTCCCTTTTCCACCTGAAGGGCTTCGGGGTTAAATGGCTTGGGGCCTGGGAAAGTTTTCTTTTGAGGGGTTTCAGGGTTTTAGGACGATGGGGTTTAGGGTTTAGGGTTGTTTAGGGTTTAGGGTTGAGGGTTTAGGGTTTTAGGGCGATCGGGTTTAAGGTTTTGGGTTTGGGGTTTAGGGTTTGGGTTTTAGGGCGATGGAGTTTAGGGTTGTTTAGGGTTTAGGGTTGAGGGCTTTCAGGGTTTTAGGGCGATGGGGTTTTGGGTTTTAGGGTTTAGGGTTTGGGTTTTAGGGCGATGG